AAAGTGGGACTAAATACTTCAAATCTATCAAGAGAGGCTCTCGATAATTTAGTTACTGAGGAAGATCTTGAGAACATTAAACAAGAAATGGAAGTTGTCATAAATGCAACAACATCCTCAGCTAACACATGTGCTGCCGTGGCGGAACGTCCAGACCAGTTGAGTGACAATAATGTGGCCAACAGATTCTGTATAGTTTGTGAAAAATAGTGTAGTGCAGCTCATTCTTGTGGATCCTGTGGCAACGATGTCCTTGCTATTTGTGGAATACCCAATGAAGCAGACGAAGGGTACGGAGGGAACATTACCTGCACATTGTGTCACAATAAACAAGACATCATGGACAACAGGTCAGCAGCTCATACTAGCTTGCAAACTCAAGGTGCTAAGATGCTTAAAACATCAAATACAAAATTTAAAGATGGCGAAGTGGGTGACAATGTACGCATCCGTTTTCCAGATGTTGACAGAGGTCACGGTGATCCCCGAAGCGTCATTGCAGTTGATATGAGCGTCGAGTGCGTTTTCTACAAGCTAGGAACTGTATGCTAGAAAGAAGTTTTTCAATTCTTCACGAAAAACTGCTCTTATTGTCGTTAGAGGAAAGATCACAACGAACCATCGCATCTTCACAATCATTGACCGGCGGCCAAGGCTACACTCGCTGCAATTGCACAACCAAATACACAACAAACTGCTGCAAGTGTAAAAATAACAAGCTACTATGTAATTCGAAATGCCATAAAAGATCAACTTGTTGTAACAAGCGATAATATCTATTTATTGAGACTATAGCACAATAACAAATTTAAATGTTTCTGTCATTTACTTTAATTAATAATCAATAAACGCTTAATTTCGCGATCATTCGGGTATAAAAAAACACACCAAATTCTGCTCATGATCTTCTTATTCGGACTTTGGCCGGTCGTCCCTAGCCAGATGAACTTCTAATTCAGTCTTTGAACGGTCTTTGGCCTTTGCCGGCCAAAAGTCGAAATCAAGAGCCATTTCAGACTTTAACCGGTCCATTCTGGCCAGTCCGCGAGTCGGCCGGCCAAAGGCCAAGATTAAGCAAAGTTTTGGACTTCGACCAGTCAAAGGGAGGCAATATTGGCTAATATGCGCATTGGCCGACGTCAGGCTTTGACTTAGGGCTTTATAAATAAATAAATATATATATATATATATATATATATATATATATATATATATATATATATATATATATATATATATATATATATATATATATATATATATATATATATATATATATATATATATATATATATATATATATGTCTTCCTATCTTTTCAATCGTTGCGCTATTTTTAATGTGCTTTGTTTCCAGTTTTTTCGAGGTCGGTATGTACACTTTCTGTGTATTAGCAATCATTGGAGTGTTTGGTCTGCTATTATGGAGTAAGTACATATATAGTAGTTTTGTGTACGTGTATATATATATATATATATATATATATATATATATATATATATATATATATATATATATATATATATATATATATATATATAAAGCTGATATAAAAGTCCACTTTTTGAAAAAAAGTTATTTTTATAGGCTTCTTAATTAGTGGAAGTTAAAGCTGTGTACTAATTTTTTTTCCATAAAGGTATTATTTATTATATTAAATTATAAAAAATCATAAGGTTAGTTAACAAAAAAAAAGCTTTAAAGTTGCTTTTCTCAAAATCAGAGAGGCAAGGCTTGGCTTCGTTAGCATTTAAACTGGTTAAAGGCAGCTATGAGTTTGAAAACGTTGATGTGCCAGAGGAGGAGATGTCCGAGATGGACGACAGTTTTGCTCGAGTAAGTCAATAACACATCTTCATCACTCACACACCTTTGCTAATAAACCAAACCTTAACTTAGCTAAAGTCTCATTATTTCTTCGCTACATTACAGAGGAGAACGGTGATTCGAGAGTTTGAAAACTGTAGTAAGTACGAGGAACCAATCACCAAAACAAAACATAGATCAGGCGGGGAAATGCTTCTTTTTAAACCTACTCTCTACCCTTTGAAAAAAACCATTACGGCCCCTCACGCAATCATAAAAAGAACTTCAAGTAGGGAGTACTTTGGGAAAAAAAGCAGGTTGGTTTGAAATGTTAAAATCAAACCTGTCCAGTATTTTTTAATGTACAAGGTTATTTTTATTTTTTTTTTAATTTTTTGATATCCTAGTTTTTATTTATTCTGCTAAAATAAGTTATTTTCAGGTTAACAAACGTATTGTATCTCTCTACATTTTCTAATTAGCTATTTTTACTAATTAAGTAATTAAGTAATTAATTAAAACTTGTAGATATATGTAAACCTAACTCTACCACCAGGCTTACCAACTCTCGGGCGTCGGTGCAATCGTGGCTAAACCCACGGTGGATAAAATCCTAACCTTAATCTAGATAATGAAACAAAAAATAAATCAGCTTAACCAACTTTAATTACATAAAATATGGAACCATCAATATTAAAAAGAAATAATGAATTCAATGTAGAAATCTAACTCTAGTCATAAGAATCTCACAAACAAAACCAACAAACAACACAAACATTCAGAGCCGGCGTTTGGGGCTTGAATGGGGCCCCGCGCTTCAACACCGCAAGTGTTGTCTCCACAAAAACTATTCGAGTCTCATCACAATCTATTTCAATCTCTACATTTCAGACCAGTGGATCTGACATCCCTGCAAATCTATCAGGAGTCACATCGATTTGCCAAGAATCTAAAGCATGAAGGTTTCCGCAGTCCTGACATCATATGCAATGTATTGGCAAATACTCCCGCGCGGGACATTATGGAACTTGGCATTGTGTTTGCTGGATGTTCGGCAGTAAAAACTCACGTGAGTACTAGCTAAGTTACACGCTGATAGGTTTCAACTTGAAAATCACCATTGTTTGATTTTCAAGTTGAAACCTTCTAAATTTGTATTTTAACATAAACCGCTGCATAGTATTATTAGAGAGAGATATTTGTTGCATCTTTACTGCACTGGAATCCCCAAGAATTAATTTTACCATCTTAAGCATACATGGTTTGATGAAATTTTCTCCTTTGTGTGAGAGGTTTTTTGCTTGGCAATTTCTAATACTACTTCATATAATGCTTGCACTGTTTTCTTGGTGAGAACGTTCTGTTCGATCAAATCTCTGACGTTTGCAACTAGCTTCATACTTCATGTCGACGAAAGAACTCCATATATTTTTTGGTGTGTTCCGAATGACTCGTCTCAAATTGACGTCTGGAAGTTTTCATAGACTCCTGACAAAGAACAACTTTGCACAGTACAAATTGTTTATTCTCTATTCCATTTCCAGTGATGTTAGTAATGCCGAATTTCAAATATTTTTCTAAATATTTATGTTTTTTATTCATTGCTAGAGTTTAAGTCTACCAGTTGGCGACCCCCCAGAAAACCCTTCGCGACCCCCTTATAAGGGGGTCGCAACCCCTAGATTAGGAACCCATGATATAGTAGATGGTGACATATCTCAACTAAATGTTACATTAGCTGGTGACATATCTCAACCAAATATTGCATTAGCTGGTGACATATCTCAACCAAATGTTGCATTGGCTGGTGACATATGTCAACCAAATGTTGCATTAGCTGGTGACATATCTCAACCAAATGTTGCATTAGCTGGTGACATATGTCAAACAAATGTTGCATTAGCTGGTGACATATCTCAACCAAATGTTGCATTAGCTGGTGACATATCTCAACCAAATGTTGCATTAGCTGGTGACATATCTCAACCAAATGTTGCATTAGCTGGTGACATATCTCAACCAAATGTTGCATTAGCTGGTGACATATCTCAACCAAATGTTGTTGTGATGCGTAGGGAATGCGATGTTATAGTGTGTATTGATGGGGATGCGATGGTGTAGTGTGTATTGATGGGGATGTGGTGTGAGATGTTTGTGGATGGAGGATATACCTTGGTGGATGGTGGATATACCTTGGTGGTTGGGGACATACCTTGGTGGATGGGGACATACCTTGATGGATGGGGACATACCTTGGTGGACTGCGATTCCTCCATTAAACGTTTGACAGTTTTCACATCAACAGCTTTTTCTTTGACTTGTCGAATACTGGCTTGAGGATCCTAGTAGAATATAGCTAGGTTAGGACATTAGAGGACTTTACAGATACTAGAGGACATTAGTAGAAGCTAGAGGACACTAGGACAAAAGAGGACACTATAGGACATACGAGGTCACTATAGGATAATAGATGACATACAAGGACACTATAGGACATACGAGGACACTATAGGACATACGAGGACACTATAGGACATAGAAGGAGGACACTATAGGACATACGAGGACACTATAGGACATACGAGGACACTATAGGACATAGAAGGAGGACACTATAGGACATACGAGGACACTATAGGACATACGAGGACACTATAGGACATAGAAGGAGGACACTATAGGACATACGAGGACACTATAGGACATACGAGGACACTATAGGACATAGAAGGAGGACACTATAGGACATACGAGGACACTATAGGACATACGAGGACACTATAGGACATACGAGGGTACTATAGGACATAGAAGGAGGACACTATAGGACATACGAGGACACTATAGGACATAGAAGGAGGACACTATAGGACATACGAGGACACTATAGAACATACGAGGACACTATAGGACATAGAAGGAAGACAGGCGTACCTCCAAGAGGCGAGTGTTACTGCTGAGATCGGAAGCCCCAACAACTCTCTGAAGTTCCCCCAGCTCCATCTCCAGCCGGTACATCGTCTGCATGATGGAGTCTGTGATGGCCCACTGGACTCCTAGGGGGGGGGGGGGGGTACCAGTGAGCAAAGCAATTAATTACCAATGCTGTTGCGATTAGCTAATCAAAATACTGATATCTCCTCTCTATCTAAGGCTCTACTTGCCGACGGCTCAGATTTGTTCAATGCCCTGAAAATGAGCAATTGTCGAGCAGTGATTGTATCTGAAGAGACCAACATCAACGCCATCAACGTCCTGCAGGCTTACTACAAGAGCGACTCGTCTCGCATGTTTAATGACTTTCGCCATCCTGATCTGCCTTCTCTGAAGTCAGTAATTGTTGTGAAAGGATAGAGACCCGGCTTATCCACTGAGAATATTTTATTTTATTTTATTTATTTTTTTTTTATACCCATTCACCATGGATAGTAATGTGTGTGTAGCTTACTACAAGAGCGACTCGTCTCGCATGTTTAATGACTTTCGCCATCCTGATCTGCCTTCTCTGAAGTCAGTAATTGTTGTGAAAGGATCGAGACCCGGCTTATCCACTGAGAATATTTTATTTTATTTTATTTATTTTTTTTTTATACCCATTCACCATGGATAGTAATGTGTGTGTAGCTTACTACAAGAGCGACTCGTCTCGCATGTTTAATGACTTTCGCCATCCTGATCTGCCTTCTCTGAAGTCAGTAATTGTTGTGAAAGGATAGAGACCCGGCTTATCCACTGAGAATATTTTATTTTATTTTTTTTTTAATTTTTTTATAGTTTATACAGACATATATTTAAACAAACTGTATTTTGTTAAATATAAATTTCTTTTTTAAGTAAATACTGATTTACAATTGCCTTTTTTTTTTCTTTGGTCTGTTAGTGCTGAAAGTGTGCTTAATTTAGTCTGGTAATTGTCTGGTAACAGACAAATCTATTAAAAGTAGCTTATGAGAACCCACATGTTTGACTATTTAAAAATATAAGTCATAGTGGTGGTTTTCTAGCTTTCATGCTATAGCTCATGTAGGCATTCATCGAACCCTTCTTTATAGATAGCGCTAACAATAAAGTCTGATCGTGAATCATATGAACCGCTGAGTCTGACTCGTATATGTCTACGGTCTACGGTCTACGCCTATGGATATGGACATGGACATGGACATGACATGGATATGGATATGGATATATATATATATATATATATATATATATATATATATATATATATATATATATATATATATATATATATATATATATATATATACTTTGTTTCTTGAAGGGTGGTGACAACAAGAAGGGCCGCACCGGACCTAGCGACGCCACTGTATAGGAATCAGATGGGGGTGGGGTAACAAAGTTAATAGTTTGCTTTGGGCGCCGATAGAAGTTGCTACACAGACGTTCATCAACAAAACCATCCAGTTTATATATATACTAGGCATGCTGCCCAGCTTCGCTTCGGCTTTCAAAAACATTGAGAATTTGAATGCTTAATGAATTCGCCCAAGGGTCGGTCTACGACCTCAGGAGTTATAAAGAGGTTCCTACGTGGACAAATTTTTTTCGATTTATAGCTCATATAAGGCGCCGGTCAGTCGAGGTCTGTTTTGACCCCCTCATCGTAGACCCTTAGGCCAACCGGCACCGGCCCCCGTGTTCTGACGCCCCAAGGCAAGATCCTGCCAAATTTGAAGCGCCTGCGGCGCCGGGAAGTGCCCGATGTCGGGCACCCGACAACTTTGCTTCATATATTATAGAGATTAGCAAATTGCATAGATAAACAAAGATTTCCAAAGTAGTTCCTTTCTTTATAGTCTAAAATAGGAAGATTCACATATTAAAAAAAAATTAGGTTTGACTTGGTGTGTCTCGATCCGGCACCATCAGCTAATTAGGTACCTTTAAATTTGGAGAATAAAAGAAGTGTTTAAAAAAAATAACTTACGCGAATATGCCTATTTTTTCAAATTAAATTTTTTACCCAAAATTAGCCAGTTTCATTGCTAAACAAACAAAGATTTCTATAAAATAGTTAAGTCCTGAAAAAGTTTATTATAGAAATTTATTTTTGGAATAGATTCTACAGTAGATCTAGAATTTCTAGATCTAGAATCCAAATAGATAAAATAATTTTTTAAAGTTTAGGCCGAGAAAATCGTATTGTATACATTTTATAGCGTGCATAGATATCTAGCTCTAAATCATATTTGAATGAAATAGTTCATTTCTTTTTATTCTAAACTCGAAAGATGACGTCATCAGTAACTGTGTGACTAGGTAACTGTGTGACTGGGTAACTGTGTGACTGGGTAACTGTATGACTAGGTAACTGTGTGACTAGGTAACTGTGTGACTGGGTAACTGTGTGACTGGGTAACATTGTGACAGGGGTAACTGTGTAACTGTGTGACTGTGTAACATTGTGACTGGGTAACATTGTGACTGGGTAACTGTGTGACTAGGTAACTGTGTGACTAGGTAACTGTGTGACTGGGTAACTGTGTGACTGGGTAACATTGTGACAGGGGTAACTGTGTAACTGTGTGACTGTGTAACATTGTGACTGGGTAACATTGTGACAGGGTAACTGTGTGACTGGGTAACTGTGTGACTGGGTAACTGTGTGACTGTGTGACTGGGTAACTGTGTGACTGGGTAACATTGTGACAGGGGTAACTGTGTGACTGTGTAACATTGTGACTGGGTAACATTGTGACTGGGTAACTGTGTGACTGGGTAACTGTGTGACTGGGTAACTGTGTGACTGTTTGACTGTGTAACATTGTGACTGGGTAACATTGTGACTGGGTAACTGTGTGACTGGGTAACTGTGTGACTGGGTAACATTGTGACTGTGTAACTGTGTGACTGGGTAACTGTGTGACTGGGTAACATTGTGACTGGGTAACATTGTGACTGTGTAACTGTGTGACTGGGTAACTGTGTGACTGGGTAACATTGTGACTGGGTAACTGTGTGACTGGGTAACTGTGTGACTGTGTGACTGGGTAACATTGTGACTGTGTAACATTGTGACTGGGTAACATTGTGACAGGGGTAACGGTGTAACTGTGTGACTGTGTAACATTGTGACTGTGTAACATTGTGACTGTGTAACATTGTGACTGGGTAACATTGTGACTGTGTAACATTGTGACTGTGTAACTGTGTGATTGGGTAACTGTGTGACTGGGTAACTGTGTGACTGGGTAACATTGTGACTGTGTAACTGTGTGACTGGGTAACTGTGTGACTGGGTAACTGTGTGACTGTGTAACATTGTGACTGGGTAACATTGTGACTGTGTAACATTGTGACTGTGTAACTGTGTGACTGGGTAACATTGTGACTGTGTAACATTGTGACTGGGTAACATTGTGACAGGGGTAACTGTGTAACTGTGTGACTGTGTAACATTGTGACTGGGTAACTGTGTGACTGGGTAACTGTGTGACTGGGTAACTGTGTGACTGGGTAACTGTGTGACTAGGTAACTGTGTGACTGGGTAACATTGTGACTGTGTAACTGTGTGACTAGGTAACTGTGTGACTAGGTACCTGTGTGACTGGGTAACTGTGTGACTGGGTAACTGTGTGACATTGTGACTGGGTAACATTGTGACAGGGGTAACTGTGTGACTGTGTAACATTGTGACTGGGTAACTGTTTGACTTGGTAACTGTGTGACTGGGTAACTGTGTGACTAGGTAACTGTGTGACTAGGTACCTGTGTGACTGGGTAACTGTGTGACTAGGTAACTGTGTGACTAGGTAACTGTGTGACTGGGTAACTGTGTGACTGGGTAACTGTGTGACTGTGTAACATTGTGACTGGGTAACATGTGACAGGGGTAACTGTGTAACTGTGTGACTGTGTAACATTGTGACTGGGTAACATTGTGACTGTGTAACTGTGTGACTAGGTAACTGTGTGACTAGGTAACTGTGTGACTAGGTAACTTGGTGACTGGGTAACATTGTGACAGGGGTAACTGTGTAACTGTGTGACTGTGTAACATTGTGACTGGGTAACATTGTGACTGTGTAACATTGTGACTGGGTAACATTGTGACTGTGTAACATTGTGACTGGGGTAACTGTGTAACTGTTTGACTGTGTAACATTGTGACTTTGTAACATTGTGACTGGGTAACATTGTGACTGGGTAATGGGTGGGCTGGGTGGGCTGGGTGAGGTTTAAAACTGGGGACTACAAGTACTGTCTGTCGTGGAAATATGTCTAGTGATGCCTGCCGCGAGTACGAAACAGTTCATAAAAGCAGGGTAATATTTTTTTGTGTTACTGTTTATTAAAACATCTGTTTGTGATGTATATGTGATGGCTGTATTGTATAGATGTATGTGATGTATGTATGTTATAACCGTATGTTATAGCCGTATGTTATAGTTGTATGTTATACTGTATGTTATAGATGTATGTGATAGCTGTATGTTATAGCTGTATGTTATAAGGTGTATGTTATAGCTGTATGTTATAGCTGTATGTTATAAGGTGTATGTTATAGCGGTATGTTATAGCTGTATGTTATAGCTGTATGTTATAAGGTGTATGTTATAGCGGTATGTTATGGCTGTATGTTATAAGGTGTATGTTATAGCGGTATGTTATGGCTGTATGTTATAAGGTGTATGTTATAGCGGTATGTTATGGCTGTATGTTATAAGGTGTATGTTATAGCGGTATGTGATGGCTGTATGTTATAAGGTGTATGTTATAGCGGTATGTGCTGGCTGTATGTTATAAGGTGTATGTTATAGCGGTATGTTATGGCTGTATGTTATAAGGTGTATGTTATAGCGGTATGTTATGGCTGTATGTTATAAGGTGTATGTTATAGCGGTATGTTATGGCTGTATGTTATAAGGTGTATGTTATAGCGGTATGTGATGGCTGTATGTTATAAGGTGTATGTTATAGCGGTATGTTATGGCTGTATGTTATAAGGTGTATGTTATAGCGGTATGTTATGGCTGTATGTTATAAGGTGTATGTTATAGCGGTATGTTATGGCTGTATGTTATAAGGTGTATGTTATAGCGGTATGTTATGGCTGTATGTTATAAGGTGTATGAATGAAATGAAAGCCCTCCGCCACTCCCCCGCCCCACCACCCGCCATAGAACGAGCAAGCACGTGCTTACATCACGTGATTGCGCGCGCTGGGTTGTGCAGACGAAATGAAAAGGCGGCGTTTTTGTGTAGGTTTGTTGAGCTGTCTTCAAAAGACGAACACAAATCGAGCTACGGTGTATGTGCGATCGTTTGGTTTTTCCTCATGGATTATTTTTCTCAACACTGAACTAAGCACAAATTTTCTCAACAAAAAAATTTACCAGCATCTAGGTGAGCTTCAGTCTTTGTTAAAAGAACAATTTAATATTGTTTACAAAATTATGAGTGTATTCTAAAATTTTGTTATTAAAATGTTCGGTCAAATTATATCAGCAACAGATCGACGTACCGGCAGTTCGCGAATGTTGTGATACGTTTGGCGGTTCGGTTTCCTCAAAACTCGCATATCACGTGGCTAAACATATCACTTTCTTCAAACACATCACGTGGCTAAACATATCACTATCTTCAAACATATCACGTGACAAAAACAGATCACTGCCCTCCTTTAAACCAACCGATGTAACTGTGTTCCAGAACGGACAGCAATTATATTTTAGCATCAAACGACCGATGGATATCGGCCTTTAACATTTCTAATTTGCGATGCCTTAAAGGTAGCCTTCAAGGCTATAATGTGTAGCACTAAAGGTAGCCAACGGGCGTATATCATACAATAGAACTAATACTCAATAACCACCAATTGAAATGTAGCTTTACCTACAACACCCAGATCACAATGTCCGTACTTTAGAGTTTATATCTTCTGGGTCGGGGGTAAAGGTAAGGTTTTACTTGAGTATTACTTTAGAGTTTTTATCTACTGAGTCGTGTGTAATTTTAAGGTTAACTTAAGGTGTATAAAATTTATTTTTGAAACGGTCCCAGAGCTTTTTTGAAAGTTGCTTTGTCAAGAACTCGTGATTCTAAGATATTGGCACTAAATTTGTTCATATATCTCAAATTAGTAAAAAAAAGTTAGGACGTTTTAAAATGTTTGGGGGACTATATCTGAAAATATATATTACTCAAACTCAATCTTTTGCACTCAAAACACAGACAATCACTCAGAGAACAGATTCAATTGTTTTAAAACCTCAAAAATAAGTGCATCATTTAAATTATTGCATTTAAATTGGCTTTTCTCGCCATTTGATAAAAATAAAAGGGAAGTAAAAAACACGAATCTTGTTCATTTAAAAAAAATCACAAAATGATGAAAGAGCATACTTGATAAGTATATCTAACAACTCTTCTTTAAATTTTAGTAACCTGTATGCATATAACATGTCGTTTGAAATACGCGTTTATGAATTAGAAGATGCAGGGGTTCACAATCTGTCAAAAATTCGTCTTTTTAAAGAAAATTATGACAACTACAGCAGCTTTGGCTATTTCAAAATAAAGAATAACCATAGCCCTTAACATGTAAACAGTGTTTGTGTCTGTGACTAATTTATATGAGATCTAATGGTGGCTGGAACAGTGCTAGGGTCACATAAAAAAAATATTTTTGTCCAAATTAATTTTGTCTCTAAAATCTAGAGCCAGTAGAGCATTCAAAAGTCAGAACATTTATTTAGAAAGCCTCAGTCGGTGTACCTATATGTTATAAAATATGTATTTGTAAATAGCTGGTTCTACGATTATCGCGATATGGTAGGTTTATAAGCTTATTTATATACGATAACGCTGCCTAAATAGATAACCATACTTAGCATATTAACAATTATCACATTTTAATTTGTAATCAATAACCACCTTAAACGGTATTTTCGTAGACATATTCTTTTTAAAGGACGCTAATAAGGGTTTATTTCCAAGATGACTGCAAAGTGCAAATACATCTGCACTCGTGCACAATCACGTCTAGCTATTTATCTCCCCTTCTGCTATTGGGTATTGTAATCTATCGAGTGATAAGTGATATTTAATTTTGTTACCTCTCCTTAATTTCAAAATCGTTTAATTAATTGTTAATGACTAATTAAACATCTATTGAAATTAAAATATTAGATGGACTTGTCATTGAAGTGGAAAGTATCTAGAAAGTTTGAATAAAATCGCTGCATTAAAAGTGGGTCAAAAATTGAGTTAAAAGATTTGCCACAAACCCACAAACTAACAGACGTTGCGAAGTACATAAAAGCTTATAAATATATAAAATTTAAGAACTCACTAACACGTTAAATCGTCATTAAATAAAGTATTTCAAACTGCACACACGTACTATTTAGTTTAAAATCATCGCTAAAACCCAACCCATCCATGAAATTTGCGTGGTTTTCTACTTTAAACTATACCCATATATTGTTGACACTGGTGACAAAATGTACAATCACGTGACCTTTTACATTTAAGATAAAAATATTCAGCTGTTTTAAAAAGATTAGAAAAATATGTTGCAATTAATTTTCAAAGTATCCTCTGTCAGAAAAGACAAAAATATTTGAACAGCAACCATAAAAAAATTAGACTCGGCTACAAAGTGAAGGGGGATTAGTTATCGGACGAAGCTGGAAAATGACACGTTGCAAGGTACGATAATCCAAATTAACCTTACCTCTATCAAATAAAAGCTTCAATAAACAGTGGGGTTTGAGGGGAAGTGTAAAAATATTAAGAAAAAATATGGAAATCAGGAGATGCTGTCTTCTTCTTCTTTGTTCTCAACACACACAGAATTTATACAGAAAATATTTACTTTTACTAAAGTCCGCCCCCCACCCCGAAAAATTTATTCCGTCCCCCCCCACCCCTATCTGATACCAACTTTAGATTTCCTAGACACATGTTGTTATGGTCCCGACTATAACAGTCTTTGTCTGGTAACTTCTCATTGTTGACCGACGTGTTTGGCTGTAGATTTCGGTCATTGGTCTATCATTATTTGATCTATTACCCCAAGATTCTGTGTGCCCTACTCCCCCCTCCCGCCAATCAACTAGTTGTATCTATCCCCAACCTCTCCTCCTCATCTCGTATCCCCCACCTCTATATCCCATGTAACCCTCCCCTCCCCTACCCCTCCCATCTTTTGTCCTTTAATCTGGACCCATCTGGCCAAAGCTTTTAATCTAAGGGCGGTATCCATCAGTGACATCTATTTCAATCATTGCTTTTATCGGCGGCCCTAACCATGTATCATCGGCACACACACACACACACACACACACACACACTCACACACACACACACACACTCACACACACACACAGACTCACACACACACACACACACTCACACACACACACACACTCACACTCACACACACACACACACACTCACACTCACACTCACATATCATTCCATTAAACTGTAGTATCGATTCAGTCAAAGATTTTTTGTCATATCAAGTACTGAGTAACGTCAATGTACTGTAAAGTACGGAGTACCACCAATGTACATGTAAAGTACTGAGTACCATCAATGTATATGTAAAGTACTGAGTACCGTTGATGTACGTGTAAAGTACTGAGTACCGTCGATGAACATGTAAAGTACTGAGTACCAACAATGTACATGTAAAGTACTGAGTACCGTCGATGAACATGTAAAGTACTGAGTACCGTCAGGCGTAATCCATTTGTAGTGAACCAGTAAGATGGCGTGCGCAGCGGCGACTGAAGGCGGCGGGGGGGGTGGTCAGCACTATTTAGCGGGTGACACCAAATTTTAAAAATCTAGCAACAACACTAAATTGAACCAGTTGAAAGTATTAAAGTGTTAGAAGGGAGGAGACGAGACACCAGAGGTTTAAATTGGGGCGGTAGGGGGGGGGGGGGTAGACAAGTTATCGAACCTGACACCACCCGATCAAGTTAGAGATGAACAGATTAACTGTGGTCTCGGCAGTTAGGATTACCAGACCAGGTTTAGGGGGGGGGGGGGTCAAAGGTTAACAGGTTAGCTATAAAGTTATCCCATGTATCTAGTTAAAGAAACGTTAGTCCCGATATTATGTATTATGGTGGCGTACTAAAGATTAGACGGAGTGACGTCACATTTTAAAGATTACTGCAGGGATGTTAAATACCCAAACCTGTGACGTCATCTTCACAAACACGCGCAAACTGAGCGAGGCGACAAAAGACGCAATAAGTTTAAACAAGGTGTAAATATTGGATTCGATGTATTAAAGTGTGTAGAGATTACCACACAGTTTACCATCTAGTCGTGTTTGGAATTCAGAACTGAAAGCTGTTTCAATAAAACTACCATCTTTTCGTTAAACGTTTTACCACTTTCAATACAAGTTCTAAAAATAGCTAGGTATAGCACGTGATAGGTTTTTTTGTGAAGCTTCGCTCCGACACCAAATAATCTCCAAGCAAAAATGGTTAAAACGTAAACCTTCAATGATTGTTTGTACACAGCGTCTGCTGTTTCAAGGTCTCTGGTTCGAGATTATAAAGTGTTGTTGTTTCGTTTTTAACCGTTTCTTTCGGCTCAGATAAAAAAGGTCTAAAAATAGCTCTAGTAGTTTGAGCGATGCACAAACAAACCCGAGTTGTCCCACGGGAGATCCTGTTCAATATCAGAATGGCGGTCTATTCATAACACACGCGTTGGGGAGGTGGGGGTGGGGCATTACTCTCCAGATACAATGTATAGTATGCCCCCCCCCTCCCCAACCCCTTTATCATTTTTCAACGTATACTACTGTATTGGATGGACAGAGCAGATGTAGAACTGGACATAAAATTGATTACGTCTATCTGAAGATGTGCAGGCTCTAATCGTGATATTATTTCAAATTCTGGCCGGCGTTCTGTTGTGTCTGGGGTGGGGAAAGGTTGGTTGTCTGATATTTGTTGGCCAGACATTGGTTGGCCAGACATTTGTTGGCCAGACATTTGTTGGCCAGACATTTGTTGGCCAGACATATTTTGGGCAGACATTTGTTGGTCAGACATTTGTTGGTCAGACATTCGTTGGTCAGACATTTGTTGGTCAGACATTCGTTGGCCAGACATTCGTTGGTCAGACATTCGTTGGTCAGACATTCGTTGGCCAGACATTTGTTGGTCAGAAGTGTGTTGAGTGACCGAAAAGAATAATATATAACTGTGTTAAAATGTAATTCATGGAAAATGTAAAAATATAGAAAAACGTCACAAAAACGTTGGTAAATCAAAACGTTCACAAATTGATCATTAAACAGTTCACAAATTGATCATCAAACAGTTCACAAATTGATCATCAAAAGTTCACAAATTGATCATCAAACT